GGATGGGTCTGGTGATCTCACGCATGAAGGAAAGTATCTGTATTATAACACTCTGCCATGCAACTGTATACTTACAAAGGATCTACTTTCAGGAGACCAAAACAATAGATGAAATATTTTAAGTACTGAACATAGTTCAATGCTAATTAAAGCTGAAAGAGCACCGAAAATTCATGGACTTCCATAGACGATAGAGAGGCATGTCAGGATTGGGTTCTTGGACAGCAGCCCAATGTGAATATATAAAATGTTCCAGTTACATGTCTATGGGCCTGACATAACCACCAGAATAGACAGGATTTTAGATAAGTAAAAATTGGTCATTTTGGGACCAGCAGGTGGCATGGTGCTGGACACTCCCACATGGCTACCCACAGTTGGAGTCCTGGACCTGGTGGCTTGCTTTCTCTCTCTGTCTCTCTCTCTGTCTTTCTCTGTCTCTCTCTCTGGTCAAATTAAAATAAACGAATGAAAAAATAAAATTAAATAAATAATTCTTTAAAAAAAAAACTTGTCCTCTTTATGATTTGCTAATTTGACAGAAATGAAGGAGAATATTTTTTAAAATGGGGAAAAACTAGTATGTGGTAACTCCCTTATCCCATGATTTCTCAGATGGGTTGGTTAACGTGTCAGAAGATTTTAAATTCCTTTTTTATGATATTACAAGCCCCTTCCGTTTTGCTATTTCCACACCAAACTAGAGATTTTAAACTACCACAAATTGTTCTCTTCCCCAAGGAACATAGAGAAGCAATTCATGCAATTAAACTCTATTTTCTATATCTCAGTAACCTTCCACCCCTAACACGCAGAGAATGACCTGTACTCACTTTGAAGATTGCCGAAGGTGAGAAAATTGCTCCCAGGTAAATCTCTGTGGCATGGTGCTGGACACTCCCACATGGCTACCCACAGTTGGAGTCCTGGACCTGGTGGCTTGCTTTCTCTCTCTGTCTCTCTCTCTGTCTTTCTCTGTCTCTCTCTCTGGTCAAATTAAAATAAACGAATGAAAAAATAAAATTAAATAAATAATTCTTTAAAAAAAAAACTTGTCCTCTTTATGATTTGCTAATTTGACAGAAATGAAGGAGAATATTTTTTAAAATGGGGAAAAACTAGTATGTGGTAACTCCCTTATCCCATGATTTCTCAGATGGGTTGGTTAACGTGTCAGAAGATTTTAAATTCCTTTTTTATGATATTACAAGCCCCTTCCGTTTTGCTATTTCCACACCAAACTAGAGATTTTAAACTACCACAAATTGTTCTCTTCCCCAAGGAACATAGAGAAGCAATTCATGCAATTAAACTCTATTTTCTATATCTCAGTAACCTTCCACCCCTAACACGCAGAGAATGACCTGTACTCACTTTGAAGATTGCCGAAGGTGAGAAAATTGCTCCCAGGTAAATCTCTCCTTCTCTATCTCCCTCTCCACCCCTTGTTGTCCCGTTTAAGCTAAATTCTTCTTAAAGACAGTTTGACTTTCCCAATTCGTCCATTCATTGATGTTACCTACCACTGAGCCCTAAGAACACCCAGTTTCCTTTTTCAGTATTTCTGACTAGAGGAAGACATTTCCTTCTCAGACTCCCCAAGCTTGCAAAAGGAGCATCAAAATTTAGAAACTAGTGTTACAACTCTTGGCAAAAATAGAGGAAATGTCTAGGTTCATTCAAGACTTACGCGAGCTCTATGTTAACTGTTCCATCTCTACTGCAATCTCTCGACAGACATTTTATAAACATCAAGAGATTTAGTTATCCTTTCTCCTATCAATTTTTTCACCTACTATCAAAATTTTGATTTGAACATATTCCATTAGGTCCTTTAAAAATATAAATTTTCTTTTTGAAAAGTTTAATAAAATTAAGATTAAAAAAGAGAGTCATTTAGACTTCCAAATATAAAAATATATTATTATCAATCTCATTTCCAGTCCAAAGTAGGCAAAATTTATAGACTGATAAACTTTTACATTTATGTTTATATAAACATAAATGTTCACACATGCTAACAAAAATACTACTCCTATCCTTCTCTGTTTTCATATAATAATTGTGGTATGATTGTGCTTCAGTCACTCAAGAGACAAAACTATAGATCTAACAATGACTGTTACCCTAACCCCTAAGGACAATGCCAGATTAGAACTTTCTTTGGGTTAGGCATTCTGTTAAAGATCTTAAAAATCTGGGACCAGCAGTTGGCATAATGGCTGTGTCGCTGGACTCCCATGTAGTTGACTGCGGTTCAAGTCCTGGACCCGGGGGCTTAAACTCATGCAAAGCACGTGTGCGTGCGTGCCCAAGATCCCGAGAAGAGAATGGAGGAGAGGGAATTGCAGTGTGGCCATCCCCCCTGGGGGGGGCGGGCGGTGATTTCTTGCTTTCTGTCTCTCTGTCTCTCTCTCTCTTTCTGGTGAGTGCATGCGCCCTATAACAAAAATCTCTCTCAAAAAAAAATCTTAAAAATCTGACTAATTTTCAGATTTCTATAGCCACTCAAAATAGATGATCTTTCAAAGAACTTTACTGATAAATACAACTGAGCCTTGAAGAGGTTTCATAATTAGCCCAGGATCACATAACTAAGAAATTATGACACTAAGTTTCATTCAGGTGTTTTGCCTCCAGTACGTGAGCTATAACCACAGTGTAAGACAGTTCATTCCACAAAATTTCATGATGCTGGATCTGAACATCATATCAAGCAAACAATTTCATTTTTTACTACTACTTTCCTGCTGCCAGAGGAAATTGAAGCTATCTAATTCTCCAAGTTTAGTAAGTAAACAGATTATAGACTTCTCTGCTAGAGAAAAAATTCTTAACCTCTATAAAATCAGTCAGTCAACAAATATTTATTGAGTACAAACGGCATGCTAGGAGCTCTGTGAGGGCCTGAAAACACTGTAGTGAATACAAGGAGATTTCAAAAAGCTCATGGAAAATGAAACTAAAGTAGGGGTTTACTTTGTGTCAAAAGAATTTTTTTTAATCCATGCATAGTTTCTCCTAATTCACATTTTCTTTTTTTTACTTTTTTTTTTTTTTTTTGGAGAGGCTTTTCGCTATAGGGCGCGTGCGCTCGCCAGACAGAGAGAGACAGAGAGACGGAAAGCGAGAAATCACCCCCCAGAGGGGATGGTCACGCTGCAATCCCTTCTCCTCCATTTTCCTCTTGGGATCATGGGCACGCACGCACACGCACCCGGCGTGAGTTTTAAGCCACCGGGTCCGGGACGCGAACTGCGGTCGACTATGTGGAAGTCCAGTGACATAGCCATTACGCCAACTGCTGGTTCCTAATTCACATTTTCTATAAACTTTCTGAAGATGTCTTGTGGGTCCCTGGTCTCATGAAACCTCCAATGTTGCTTCCCCACAAAAGCATAACTACCATTTGTATTGTGTTCTCAATAAACTGCAGACATCACCTCAAACACTTGACATATACTGTCTCATTTGGTATCATTTAACCCTCACAATATCCTGTAACACAGGCAAGTTTTACAGATGGGAATACTGAGGTGCAGGAAGGTTAAATGATTCAGCCCCAAGTCTCACACCCCAGTGGGTGTTAGGGGCGGGATGACTCAAGTACAGCATTACCTCTTTCGAACTCAGAAATGCCTACTCCAAGTGTTTTTTGTCTTTTCAGAGATTTCACAAAGGAACAGCTATGAGTAGATGTTGGGTAGATAAAGTGGTATATACAGGATGACCCTATTTAAGTTTAGAAATATACGTACCTAAGAGTAGAGATATTATTTTTTTTTACACTGAATCACTGTATAACATTATGGAATACAAAATGAATTTTTCCAGCACGAGTACACTCTTCAGTTAAAGTTATTACCATCATCAGCAGGTAGTTTCCTATTTTCGTGTCCCTTAAATGTTTTGCTTATTTCTTTCTCCACTTGCTTCCCTCCCTCTCACCTTCCTCCATTTCTCACCCCCCTCCCACACTGCCTCTAGTACCCACAGTTGCTCTCCATCTTTCCATGCACTGTTCCTGATGCTTTCATGAGAAGTAGCCATTCATCTCGCTATGGTCAAATGTGTACTGTTCGCCTTGCTCTTCTATCGAAACACCTTATTCATTTGTAACTAAAAATCCTTTCATGAACTTGCAATTCAGTTATTTCTGTGTAACTTTCTATTTCTGAGTAGTTAAAACTTAAACTAATGTAATTATATCGATTCTTAAAACAGTGATTCAACTAGAATACAGAACTAAGTTATCCTTCCCACAGCATACAAGGATTTGGTAGCAGGAGTCTTATAGGGAGTGAGGCTTCATGTCACTTTTGTAATTTTATGCATCTTCATCTTTTTCTATTTCCTATTTTTTCCCCAATTTCTAATATCTATCCCCATTGGCAAGAATATGCACAACTCCCTAATTTCAGAGACCATAACGAAATCTCCCAGTGGAAAATTCTGCTAATCAAATCTTTTTTTTTCTGTTGCTAATTACCAGAGAGTATGGATCAGCCAGAGAGAGACAGAGAATGCACAACCCTTCTCCCACCACCACCACCTCATGGGGCAAGGTCTCACTGCAATCCTTTTTTTTTTTTTTTCCCATTTCTTCTTACTCACAGGATTTTGGAGACACTATACACATGCTTCTGGCATGTTTTTTAAGCTGCTGACATCAAACTGTGTTCATCCATGTAGGATCCAGCTCCCTTAACCATCGTGCTCTGGGGCCAGTCTAATAATCAAATCTTAAGAACAAGGTGGTTTTTGCTTGCCTACTTTAAAAGGTAGTCACCCCATCTATTAACTCAATGCAAAGCTGGCATGAAATATCAGAGACCATTCCAAATATGTATTCTTTTATTTTCCAACACAAATTTGGAACCGTAAGCAAAAAGAACCCAATGTAGGGAGTAGCCCTACCATGCAAGAAGTCTAAAGGAATTTTGTCTCCAACTCTTTTTTGTCGGTGCCGTGTGTGTTTGTTTTATGCTTAAAATACTCACTGATGCCCACAGCTGTAATGAGCTTGATTGCAAGTTCAGGAATTTCACATTGAATAAAAAATGGTTCCAGAATGTAGCGTCCAAATGCCAGGGATATCACAGCTGTAGCTGCAGGGCTGAGAAAATAGATATTGAGGTTAACTACAGGAAAAAAATAGCTATTTTTGCTAAATGTGTTCTACCCTGAGCTATTGTTATTTAGCATGTGAAACATGTTAAGTATGAAGTTGATACTTTTCAGAGCTATATATTTCGATTACACTGCCATAGACCTACCAAATGAAATATTGCCTACAGCACTGGTAACCACTTTTGAACTTCACATGTACTTGAGGATGAGTCTCGGGCTATCAACTTTGCCATTGTTTCCTTATATTTCATATTTGACGCCTTCCCTCCCTCCTTAAAACCTGTTTTCTTACATGAGATCTTAACAGAGCTGAGCATTACAAGAAGCAGTCTTCTTTCTCAATAAGTCAATAATTAAACTCTAGCCAAAGTAGGAATGTGTTAACAGTACAGACCCAATGGGTCAAGGCGGGGTCAGGAAAATAAACACAAAACTCACCACCACCACCCCCCAAAAAAAGTCTTAGTAAGTATTCGTTGTAAACACCTGCCTAAGTACTTGACATGGTTTTATTCTCTTTTCTGTATAGACAAAAACTCAAAGTGATTATTCTTAATTCCACAGAGATATTTAGATGCAAAGTATATATTAAAAAGTAGAATATTCCTAATTTTATATAATGATGAAAGTGTCCATGAGACAAGAAAGTCAGGTATGTAAGTTGAGCTCAATAGCAACATGAGGTATAAATCATCCTACTTCTTTAAGTATTCATATAAAAAATCGCACATACCTTTTCATTTTAAATATATGTATAAATAAATGCATATTCTTTCCACATACAAGCAAGTCCCAAGAATTATCTAATTTCTCTGCCAAACTTCCCTTTCAGCTTTTCTTCCTTGTTGTGGTTTATCCAACAGCCATACCTGATTCCTAGATTATCAGACAAGCAACCACCATGTATGTCCCCAACCTTGGCCTGTTAGGACTGGGCACCATCGTGTATTTATTGATTGTCTTCTGTTCTTAGAAACCTTCTCATCTTCTCCCCAAATAAAACTATTTTTCCTCTTCTCCATCATCTATAACAGTTTTTGATGTGCAAATTAAAATCTAATCTTACCATTTTAGTGTTTTCAAAACATGTTCAAGATATGTGAAAGTCTTTCATATTGGACTGCAGGCCCCATCTGGCCTAAGCTCTCCTGCGTCAGTCATCTTCCCATGAGAAGGTGTGAATCTCCTCTGCCCAGAGGCTCTTCAACTCGTGGACTGTTTCATACTTCAGATCTTTGTTCAATCCTCCTTTCCCAAGGGCAGCTTCTCCAACCCTCCGATGGGGTGAGGTCATCCCGAGTAAACTCTCACTGAACCCCATGTCTGGGTTCCCTTTGACAGTGCTTATCATAATAGCAATTTTGTATTCATTTACATCATTTCTTGATTGAACTATGTCCCCCCATTGGACCTTGAACTCCATGGCTATAAGACTATGTCCATGTGAATCACGATTTTATCCCCAGTGATACGTAGAGTGGCTGTCATAGCACAGAACTAATACACATAGTGAATGGCTGAATTTAATGTAATGACCCTGTTAGGTACTGATGAGTGATATTTTATCCTTGAAATGTGTATTTAGAGATTATTTCTACTAGCAGTAGCTACTTAATCTACAGGTATAATTTTTTTTTCTTAAAGTTTGTTTTATTTTATGAGCAATAGAGACAGGAAGAGAAGGAAAGGGATAGAGAGGAGACATGCCCAACAGGTCCCAATGCAGCAATCCCACTCCAGGCCCAGCCAGCACTTGATTAGGCACCCTTATGCCAGAAAGGTCTCCACATACAAAGCTGGAATGGGCCCAAATTGGTCAGCCTCACAGAGCACTGCATTGTACTGCTGCTCTTCTGCCTGGACCCATGAAAGTATAACTCTAATGGGAAGTATTTTAGTACTGGGAATTGAGCTAATACAAGACAAAAGTTAAAGGACTTGGGTATCTTGTCCCTCCTCCCTCAAGTCATTGCAATATGACAATACATAGAACATGTAGGAGGACAAAAGAATGTATAAACACATTTGAAAAGCTTTTAGAACACATCTAGATCATTTCCTCTGTAAACACACACACACACACACACACACACACACACACACAAACCACAAAGCACTTCTATAAAAAGTAAAGCAACATTTGATTATCAGTTGCTTGGGAGCAGGAATTGTGGATCATTCCACTTCAGATGTCCTTAGCTTGCCCATGCCCCATTCTGGGGCAGTTTGTGGAGTGTATCAGTTATTGAACGAGCACTATAATGGATGATCATGCTCATCTTTTTTTTTTTCGTTTTTTAATTACTTTATATCTTATTTATTTATTTATTTCCATTTTAATTTTCACCAGAGAGGGACAAAGTGAGAGAGTGAGAGAGAGAGAGAAAAAGTGGGAAAGCAAGCCACCAGGTCCAGAACTTGAACCGTGGTCAGCCATGTAGGAGTCCAGTGCTCTTAACCACCACACCACCTGTCGGTCCCGATCGCTCATCTTAATGGCAGGCTGTTAGCCGATGTCAGTCAAGTAAATCTGGCTGAAAACAGATTCAAGATCAACCGTATCAGGCTCCAAAGCTCACCAGCCTGGCAGGCCAGCCCACTAAATAAGCAATACATTCAGAGAGAGAAAAAGTGGGAAAGCAAGCCACCAGGTCCAGAACTTGAACCGTGGTCAGCCATGTAGGAGTCCAGTGCTCTTAACCACCACACCACCTGTCGGTCCCGATCGCTCATCTTAATGGCAGGCTGTTAGCCGATGTCAGTCAAGTAAATCTGGCTGAAAACAGATTCAAGATCAACCGTATCAGGCTCCAAAGCTCACCAGCCTGGCAGGCCAGCCCACTAAATAAGCAATACATTCATTTGAACGCCAAATAGGTTGTATTCAAAACACTATAACCTTCAACTTTCAATCACTCATTCAAAAATAAATAAGTATCTACAATACACTGACATTTTGGCTAAAGGTTACAAAAAAATCTAAGACCTGGTCTGACATGATTAAAATGCCGCAGTTTTAACAGGAAAACAGAACGCAGACACAGTATTGAGAATACCGGGTAGCATGTCCAATGTCTAATGAGAAACAGACAGTGCATTTCTCAGAAGGATGAAAAGACATAATATCAACTAGATTAAGCAGGAAATTCATTGTGGGAAAGATAAGCATGTAAGATGACTTTTAAAGAGTACATAGAAGATTCCGATAATCAAAGAGTAGCCAAAGGTACGTCCCGGGTAAAGGGATTTTAGAAAAGAAGCAAAACATTGCGTTAGTGTTATTTCCTTTTAACATGCTGTAAATGATGCAGAATTGTGTAAAGTGAAAACAGATATTTGAGTGAAGTATGTGCTATTCTGAAGCTTTTTGTTAAAAAAAAGAAACACCCGTATACAAGTTACAGTTCGTGCTAAGTCAATACGTCTCAGTTCGGCATCTGCCTCTTAGTCAACAAATGACAGGCTAAAAGCCCACGTGAGCACTCGGGCATGTATGTCTGATAAGTTTACAGTCAGAGCAGGTTTCCCTATTGCACTCCGGTCAGAATGTGCAAGTCACATTTCATGGCAGCAGTTAGGCTGGGATACTCTCAAGCACTCATGTGACATCATAAGTTTCCCACAAAGTTGAAGGAAATTTGCTATTCAGAGTGACTTAGCACTATTTGGTTTGATTTCAAACCCAGGCAATCAGGAAGGGGAACAAGGCTTACAACAATAAAATCAGAAAGGTTTATGCAACTGTAGTTCCCTGATCTCTTAATGTGAGGAAATGAGTCAACTATGTCGTGTAAACTTGATTTCTTGTAAGTGTAAGCCTTGGTGACACACTAAGTTGTTCAGCCTGGAAGTGTCTTAGTCATAAGAACTGAGGAAAACTAAATGGCTTCATGGTACAATCTACAAGGGAAAACTCTAATTCTAGCATAACAGTTATTTGGTCGGGTTCTTCGAAAGATCTGATTTCTCAAGGTAGATTTTGATGTTTCCTATCCTTTCAAGTAAGTATCTTTTTCTAGAAATGTCAAAGAGGATAACTGAAGATTAAAGAAAAATAGGTAGCAGGGCTAGCCTGTGGCATGGTGGTTAAGGTGGCTATATCTCAAAAGGCTGACTGCATGGTTCAAGTCTCGTGCCTAAAACTTGAGAAACGCACCAGGGGCATGTGCATGCATGCCCAAATCTAGATAGTAGGGAGAGCTATTAGAGAAGGGATTATGGTATGGCTATCCCCATTGGTGGTTCTCTCTCTCTCTCTCCAGAGAGATGTGCACCCTCTAGCAAATCAAAAAAGAAGAAAGAAAGAGAGAAAGAGAAAGAGAGAAAGGAAGAAAGAAAGAAAGAAGGAAAGAAAGAAAGAAAGAAGGAAAGAAAGAAAGAAAGAAGGAAAGAAAGAAAGAAAGAAGGAAAGAAAGAAAGAAAGAAGGAAAGAAAGAAAGAAAGAAGGAAAGAAAGAAAGAAAGAAGGAAAGAAAGAAAGAAAGAAGGAAAGAAAGAAAGAAAGAAGGAAAGAAAGAAAGAAAGAAGGAAAGAAAGAAAGAAAGAAGGAAAGAAAGAAAGAAAGAAGGAAAGAAAGAAAGAAAGAAGGAAAGAAAGAAAGAAAGAAGGAAAGAAAGAAAGAAAGAAGGAAAGAAAGAAAGAAAGAAGGAAAGAAAGAAAGAAAGAAGGAAAGAAAGAAAGAAAGAAGGAAAGAAAGAAAGAAAGAAGGAAAGAAAGAAAGAAAGAAGGAAAGAAAGAAAGAAAGAAGGAAAGAAAGAAAGAAAGAAGGAAAGAAAGAAAGAAAGAAGGAAAGAAAGAAAGAAAGAAGGAAAGAAAGAAAGAAAGAAGGAAAGAAAGAAAAAGGAAGAAAGAGAAGGAAAGGAAGGAAAAAAGAAAAGAGAAAGAAAAGAAAAATGAGGGCCAGTCAGTGGCACAAGGATAAACTGCAACACTGCAAGGCTGACCCATAAGGGAAGGTTCTGGGTTTAATGTTCTGAGACACCCCTGAGTATGCCGCGTACACATGTGCCCATGCTCTGGGGCTGGGGTAGACCTTAGCATCAGGATCCCATTAAGAGTGCTCTCTCTGTGTTTCTGTGTCCATGTCTCTCACTCAAGGGAAAAATATACAAATAAAGAAAAAGAAGCAAAGTAGGCACTTGAAAAGTTTGGTATTATTGTTGGATACAACATTGCCAATCACAAAGCTGATTACACTATATTAACTCAAAATGGTATTTTATCCCAGACTTTATGTCCCAAAGTAGACATGTGTATAACACACTCCTATGACATGGAATAGTTCTAGTTAATTAAAAGTAACCGAGGTGATTCAGAAGAGTGCTGTAACGAACGGGCTTATTTTTCCTTAATTTGTCCTATCTATGCTCTTACCGTATGATGAGTAGTTCTACCCAGACTCGTACGAAAGCTGGTAACGGGCCAAATACTTCCAGAATGTATGTGTAATGACCACCAGATTTCTTTATACTTGTTCCCAGTTCAGCATAGGACAAGGCTCCTGTGAAATATTTACAATAAAAAGGTACGAATTCAATGTATTATCTTGTCACCCAGCAGTAGAATTCACACGTCCTCCTTCATGTTTCCAGAGATGTAACTACTTCCTTTGATTGGAATAGCATCCTTGCAGCCTTATATCAAGACAAGGACCGGTGACCTAATGTCTAAGACCCACAAAGTTTCTCTTCTAACTTCCTCTCATTTGAGATCTAGTTCATTTTATTTATACAATGTAATTTTACTTGAAAGGATAAAGACAACTTTCTGAAACAGTATCATGTGTTTCAGAACTTGGGTTCAAACACCTGGGCACAAGGGAAAAAGATAAACTATAAATACATGCCCACAATACTGACCTATTTTTAGAAGAACTCCAACAAGGCAAAGGATTATCCCAAAATAACCTTGTTAAATAGAGAATCCTTCTAATAAATGATGTTTCTATGGCAAATCAAATGTATAAAAAGTATCAGCTCTTCAAGAAAGTAAGGATTCTAGGCTTTGCAAGACCTCACTTAACTTATCAGATGCATTTGTCAACAAGTGCGAATTGTAACTCAGATATTCGATCTCTAGAAAAATGATGATTTGAAGAGTATTTTCTGGGTGTTTGAAAGAATGTATGTTTTAAAGAAAGAAATGCTATAAATTATTTTTATGTATGTTAGGTAAAATTAATCATGAATCAAAATTTTAATGTTTAGCAATACTATTTATATGAAATTGGGAAAGTTATGTAACCTCTCAAACTTATTTTATCCCCTAGAATATGGAGATCTCATTTTTTATCTCGTAAGGAAGTTGTGTGCATAAGTGCAACCACACGTAACAAGGATAGAACTAGGCCTGACCCATGGCAAACACCACATGAAATTCGGGTGTATTATTTATTTATTTATTTATTTATTTCAATTTGCCAGAGGGCACATGCATCAGAGGAAAAAAGAGAGAGAGGGAAATCGAGACAGTATCCCCTGTGGGGGAATGGTTATGCTACAATCCCTTCTCCCCCATCTCTTTCAGGACTTTGGGCATAAACATGTATATGCTTCGCATAGTTCTCAAAATGCCAATCTCACACCACACAGTTGGCCATGTGGAATCCAGCCACCCTCTATCATCACATCACTGGCTGGCCCCGGCTGTATTTTTTAATTTAAGCAATTAATTACAAAGAAAACAAAAATAAAATACATGTTGATACCATGTGAGAAGTTTGAGCTATACTGTAAGGGCTCAAATGTAACACACAATGTTTGCCTCAACTACTTACTTCAGAAACTAGAAGTG